GGTAAAATTCTGAATGGTTTAGGTTATGGTGATTTTTATACTGTTTTGTAGAGTCAGACTTGTAACATTTGGATGAAGCAATTGACAAATTAACTCTAAAATTCAGTACCCAAAACTTCTCTGTGTTCAGTGATAAATGGCAGATTCCCTGGTACTACAAATCTAGTATTAAATTGGAAAATGTACTAGTATTAACATGGGAAATGTTCTGCAGAGTCGAAGACTTTCTGACCGATCTTGTTTGTGACACTTATCCTCACTTATCCCCACTTATTCTCACTACATCCACATATGTTTCTGTGAAATGTTTTTTGGGGGGAATATTTTAAGTGCATTTCCTTTTTTTTATTCTTATATGATTGGATCCTTACTAAAAGGAATAAGGATTTTTGAGTCATTATTAAAATAATTTTTTAACAGTGTTTTTCTGAAATTTGTATTCACACATTTATAATGTGGATTATCCACATATAATAGCAATAGTAATGAGTAGGTCATAGGTATATGTATCACCACTTGCAAGCACTTACTGAACACCCACTGTGATATATTAGCTGTGGTTCACAGTTACATATATATATATGTATATATATATATGCAATTCAAGTTAATGAGGGTAAATGATTCTTGTGCAAGTAGAGCTGCTGAACAGAATCTATGAAAAAATAATAAAGCATATTCTGCACTTACTATATACAGTTGCTATATAAATGCTATATATGGATGTATAGTGATAAGTATATTAACAAAATCAATTATCACCATGTGTGGGAAAGATGATCTTAGTATCACCTTTTTACTGAAGAAGGAGGTAGTTACCTAAGTCACGAAAGATGTTAAATAACATTCAGAGTCTCATAGTTAGAACATGGCAGAATGGGGTTTAAAAAAAGGAAATGGACTTCATCACAAATTGAGTCCAGAATCTGTTTATTCAACATACTTTATCATTCTGCATGTCCTGGATTCCAACCAAAAATGGAGTTTCTAGTTTACATATTTTAATGTCTGTGCAATTATAAAAGTTCTATAAATACCTGAATAGATGTGTATATATATCTATATACACATAGAAATAAGTCAGTCTCTTGCATTATGCCCTGAAATCCACAGAAAAATGTGAAATTATGTGTTTTGAAACAGTCACTGTCACTGTCCTCCCTTTGTTCATCGATTTGCTTGAGTGGGCCCAGTAACATCTCCATTTTGAGACTTGTACTGTGTTTGGCATATCAAATATGTCATGGGTAGCTTGCCAGGCTTTGTCATGCAGGCAAGATACTCTAGGTAGCTTGCCGGGCTCTCCAAGAGGGGCGGAGGAATTGAACCTAGTTAGGTCGGGTCGGACGCGTGCAAGGCCCTACTGCTGTGCTATCTCTCCAGCCCTAAAAAAGATACTGTGTTTCATTCATTATTTATCATATTATTTTTGTTTGAGGGCCACATTCTCTGTGCAGAGAATATCATTCATCTGTTAACATGAATGACTTCTTCAGTCACCTATTAATGAGAAGGGAACTGGTCTAGTTTGTTTTTGTCCTTGCTATTTTTATTGTCTTCCTCTCATTTGCATCATACTCTGATTTAAGGAGTGATTTCATTTTGAAAGAATCTAGCAGAGACAGTGACTCAATGAGATTTTTCCTGTAGGAAATCGATCTTAATGATTGTAACAAGGAGAAAAATCTATCCTGAGAAATTCATAGACAATTCAACACTAATTCAAGGTGTAAAAGTACAACTAAGGTGACAGTCATAGTTATTTATGATTGTGCATCTGTACAATGATGTGTCATGGTTAAAAGAAACCATATAAATGTATTTGGATAATTTAGTAACAGCAAATATGCTTTTTGCTTTTTATTCCTTTAATCATGACCAGGTAGATGGAAATTACAGATTACAACTGTTTTCTTGTACTGAATTACCACAGTTTTTAGGAAAATGATTTTCGTGGGAAAATAGTATTGAAGTTTAAAAGTCTCATCATCTGCCAAGAGCTTGTAATTAGCATAGCAAAGAATTTTTTTTATATCTTTGAGGCTTTTTAGTTTATATTATACAATTTTCCATTAGAGTCTTAATGTTCTTGGTTTGGTTTCTTTTCTTCCTTTGTTCATATAGAATATGTCATTATTCTTGCATGTGTTTTAAATATATATACATGATATCTCTATTAAAATGACATTTGGTTAAAGAAATATATCCACCTAAATATAAAAGTAAATAGAAAAAAATCAAAATTTATTCTTCACTAGTTAATTTTAAAGATTTATAATTTTATTTTATAAATGTGCATTATTTATGAAATAAATTTTTTCCCAACTTCTAAGTTCATATGGTTTTGGTTAGTTGAAGATTCAGACCCAAGCATGTAAAATCCATATGGTATCATAAAGAATAAAAGCATCCTCCTGGAAAGTAATAGACAGTGAAGGGATCTTGGCAAACTGGCAGCTTGATGCTTTTAGTAGGGTACAATCAGCAAGTAACTAAAGAGAATGTCTGAAATGTGTCCAGTGGGGAGGTCAAAAAACATATTACAAAGGACCTGTAGTTCTTGGATTGCCAGTTTGAATTTTTTTGGCACTCTAATCTCCCCTGTATTATAGCAGTGGCTCCAACTATATTTGTGCCAATCCTTCCTCTAGACTGGCACCAGGTGGTATTTCCAAGTCTCTCAATATAATTTTGTCACTATTTCAAAACAACTTCTATATAACCTCACTGAAAATTGCAAAAATGCAAGACTAAATTCTCTACCACGACAGATAAGGTATCCTTCTTGAATTTAGCCTCTTCTTATGTCCAAGCCCTCACTCCTTCTGTTCCCTTATACACTATGCTAGAGAAATATTAAATCCTGTGCTTTTACCCAGTACACCATATTATCATTGCTCCTGTACTTGTTTTCTCTATTTGTAATTTTCCTTCGCCTTATCCAACTGGATATAATTCTCACACTAGTTATACTTGAGTAATTCTCTGAAGATTTTCACATATGTAGTAATTTCTTAAAGTAGAGCTCCTTTTAAATACCCCCCAAGCTTCACAACAATCTGACTTTGCACTCAATCCATGTGCACTTTATTAATTGCTTTTTATTTTTCTTTAATAGATATTCTTTGTCTGGTTTTTTCTTTCCCTTCCATATTGAGCACAGTGCCTGGCCCATTCATAAATGTGTATGGTTATGAATATTAACTTGTTGCTGTCATCTTTTCAAATTTTAAAAGAAAGAAATGAGTATGTTTTTGTGGTCATTTATTACAAGGAAAATTATTTAAATTACTTTCTATATAAATTATTGGGTATATATAATATTTTCTTCCTTTAAGTAATTAGAAGTCTATATGCTTTAAGGTTAATTTTATTCTAGGAACTTCCACTTTGGTATAATCAAACAGAAATCACTATTTAGGAAAGAGGGCAAAGCTCCATAAATCCTAGTTGTGGCTTATTTCAGAAAGCACTAATCTGTATGGTGTCAACCAAGTGCTGACTGATTGGGTCATATCAGGCAGTATCTCCACTAGATGTGTTTAATAGGCATTTATATAGTTTGGCTCATGATGGTATTTGAAGCAATCTTCTCTTTACACTACACCAGGTATGTGGTTCATAATTTTTTGACCTCTGTGATTTATGTGACTGTTTTCCACAGCCTTTGTTTTGGTATCAGAAGTCATTAATCCTTCAAAGTCCTGAAGTTGTAATATTAACTGCCAACAACTTTGATTTGCAATTGGCATGAGAGTATGCTTCAACCATCTAATAACACTTATGATTGTTTTTTGAATGACAACCTTTTTACCACTGATTCTGAAATATAGAATTTCTCCAACTCTATAACAGAGATATCTTCACTCACATCTATCATCTGAGTTTATTTAATTTTGCATAAACCTTTTAGTTATGACTAATATTTAGCAAATATTAATTTATCTGCTGCTAACTAATAATTAGGTGCGTGAGTATTATTTTTAATTTGTCCACATAGTTGACTATATGTTTCTTTATATGTATATTGAGTATATACACATCCTACATATAAACACATGTATATATATATATATACATATATATATACTGGTATATACTGGGAAAGAGTCAGCTATATCTCTTTTTTGCCAACTGGCTATTTTATTTGTAATTTTCCTATGTTTTATGAAGATAGCATTTTAAAAGCCAATCTGAGGGTTGCTAGAAACAGCATTTTCATGCATGAGTTCTTAGTGACTCCTAATGTCATTTAAAATTATAGGTCCTAATACCCCAATTGTATCCCTTATTTGAATAATTATTAAGAATAATATTCTTCAGCCTCTGGTAGAATCTAGGAGGATAAACTTGGAAAAATTTGTTCTTTATATGAAATACCTTTAAAAAGTATTGATATGTTTATTTGGGGGGAGAAATTGGTAGAAGATGATATAAAGTAGAAGCTACAAAAAAGGATACAACCAAAATTATGTTAGTAAGTCCAGTATATAGTAACCTATCTCTTCAGACCTCTGGACAGCATACTAATGAAAGTGTTTGCATACTAACATCAAGTCTATGAATCAATGCAAAAAGATAGTATAGAAGGTAAAGCTCTTTTCTTTCACGATCAACCCAGTTTAATGCCCATCTCAACATATGGTTCTCTGAGTAACACCAGGAGTGATCCCTAGTATAGAGCTAGAACTTAGCCTGGAGCACCAGCAGGTGTGGACAATTTTTAAAAATCTATGAATCAAGATGATCTACCTTTTAGCCTATGTGCAGGTAATTTATTTTTCTTTGTAGGATTTTAGGGACAAAATACCAAGGAAAAAGCTAAGGCTATTTTTAGTTTGCTTTTTGATCCCAATATTTCCCCCAACCTTGAAAAGATTCCCAGGTTGTAGCTTTACTTAGAGAAATCAAAAAATTTCAATTGAATGTGGGTAACCTCATTTTCTGATAATAGAAAAGCATAGTCACTAACATCCTTGGGGAATCTTTGTGTTTTTCAGGGAATGATGTATTTGGAAGAAAGACGACTTGTTCATCGGGATTTGGCAGCCCGTAATGTCTTAGTGAAATCTCCAAACCATGTGAAAATCACGGACTTTGGACTAGCAAGACTTTTGGAAGGAGATGAAAAAGAGTATAACGCTGATGGGGGAAAGGTACATTTTTATGGATCAATATTGCTTAAAATGTTCTTTTATATCACTTTATCTCCTTGTATTTTATAGAAAGAAGTCAGCAGATAAGTCTGAGATTTAAGAGATTTTAAAATCCCAATTCTCAATTTGCTATAGCTTCTTCCAGGATGAAATATATCTACACCCCACTATCTTACCTCCACACCCACACACACACACACCTTTATATCTCTAGAGAACTAAAATAAGATCATGTATAATTGGACCCAAGTGGACCTTATGTTGAATCCTCTCTTGAGAAATGGATTACTGAACTTTACTTCAATGCTATAGAAATTGTTCTCTTGGGGGTGGAGCAATAGCACAGTGGGTAGGGCATTTACCTTGCACGTGGCCTACCTGGGTTCAATTCCCAGCATCCCATATGGTCCCCTGAGCACCGCCAGGGGTAATTCCTGAGTGCAGAGCCAGGAGTAACCCCTGAGCATCGCAGGGTATGATCCAAAAACAAAAAACAAAATAAAAAAAAAAAGAAAGAAAGAAATTGTTCTCTAAACTTAAGATGATATATCGAACTGAGTTTCACGAAGTCAAAGAGACTCACCTCCTCTCTCATATACAAAAAATAATTTTTGCTACCTTTGGATATTGGAAGGTTAGCCAGCTTATATAACTTTACTACACTTACACCAAGTATAAAAGATTCCTTTTTGTTGGCTCTGCTTATTAAAAAGTGTTATGCACTAGTGTGTAATTTACTAAGATTCACTACTTTTTCTTCATTCCCCTCCACGAGAATCTAAGCTCTGACATTCCTAGGGTATGAACAGTGCATGACCTCCTCTGCGTTTTCTGATGCTCTAGCATTAGTGGATGAATTTAGCAGGCTGAAAATTGTATTCTTCCCTATCTCCTTAGCATATGGTTTCGGATCATGTAATGGTTCCAGCTTTTACATTTCCCAGACGTTTTTGTAGTTGTTTATTCTTGACTAACCAACTAGAGTTGTCTTCCTATGGAAACTTTGAATGATCAACTGAATAAATTAAGATAAGAAAAGATGAAATGAAGAACACTAATATAATCTTCATCTTTGAATTTCTACTTCCTTTGAATTTCTACTTCCCCCATATATGTATTCACGCTATATAAATTTATTATTATTTATGAACCATCCCCCCAAATTATGATAATTTAAAATGATAGATTTCCAAATGCTTTAATTTTATACTAAATAAATGTATATATATGTATTTCAGTATTTTTTATCATAAAACAAAATAAGAAAAACTATTTTTAGAAAGTTTCAGTTTTGCCATTCCATCATCCTTATCCTAATTTTATTAGCCTATTTATGTTGTTTACTAATGTAAATTTCATTAGAGACCTCAACTTTGAAATTCACCATGAGTTTGCATAAAAGAGAAAGCATATAAATTATATGGCTTCACTTGTCTTGAGAACATACAGCTGTAAGATTCATCTAAAACAAGATTCATTGTAGCTTTAAATGTCTAGTAGCCATTAAGTCTTTATCAGGCCCCCTGTGATTTAAACCTACTTCCCTAACACAATGTCTGTAGTCCATAAAGTCCGTTAACTCCTTGCCCACAGGGAAATTACTTTCAATGTCTCTTCTGTTCCCTTTCACTGAATACCATGATTCTGTCATAGAGTTACCTTGGTGTCACCTTGGTGAGCAGCCAACCTCATGATTTCAAAGGCTTATTTAGTTTTAAGCTTTCAACTGCAGAGTGGAAGTGTTTATCTTTATTCCATAGAATTTAATTGTATTTCCAGCTATAGAACAGTGCCCTTCATAGTTGAAAATCATCCTGCTGACCCATAAGCAGCAGTGTATATGAAACTGAATTGTTTTTCATGTAGATATGAACATAATATGATCCTTTCATGACCTTTTATATAATTCCTATTTTCAAAATCGTACCTACTTTCAATATTGGCTAACCAAGGCTAGAGAAGTCATTTGTTGTTGGGGAACAACACAAGGCTAACTTTATTTATTATTATTATTATTATTATTATTATTATTATTATTTTAGGCTATTTGTTGGGCTGGAGTGATAGTACAGCAGGTAGGGCGCTTGCCTTGCACGTAGTCAACCTGGGCCGACCCTGCTTTGATTCCTCCGCCTCTCTCAGAGAGCCCAGAAAGCTACTGAGAGTATCGTGCCCACATGGCAAAGCCTGGCAAGCTAACCATGATGCATCCAATATGCCAAAAAACAGTAACAAGTCTTACAATGGAGACATTACTACTGCCAACTCAAGCAAATCGATGAACAATGGGAGGACAGTACTACAGTGCAGTGCTACAGAATATTTGATGCTTTAAGTGTTTTAGTGATATTATAAAAAAAGAAAAGAATACTTTACCATTTTACTGTTTTGCCAGAAATTTCCATGAGAGTGACAGGGAAATGTAAGGAATCTCACCTTTTAAGAAAAGGTATAAAAAAGGGACATATGTTAGTGATTAGAGAAAGAGTATGACAGCTAGGCTGCTTGCCTAGCACTTAATTGTTATATGAACTAGGTTTGATCCCTGGGACCCAGAGAGGCCCCCCAAACTACCAGGAATGATCACTGAGCAAGAAGTAAACCCATTGTGGCCCCCAAACCAAAGCAAATTAAAACAAAATTTATTATACAATTTTATTTGTTCTCAATTAAATATAGCACTGTAGTACTGTCCTCCTGTTGTTTTGCTCCAACGGGCACCAGTAACATCTCCACTGTGAGTCTTGTTACTCTTTTTGGCATATCGAATACGCCACGGGGAGCTTGCCAGGCTTTGCTGTGCAGGTGGGATACTCTCAGGAGTTTGCCAGGCTCTCCAAGAGAGATAGAGGAATCAACCCTGGTTCGGCCATGTGCAAGGTAAATGCCCTACCTGCTGTGCTATCGCTCCAGCCCAATTAAAAGTAACTTATTATTTAGATGAATATATGGGTTCTTATGTTTTTAACATAACTAAATAATACAATGGAGGGAAATCCTCTTACCTTATATAGAAATAAATATAAAATGTTTTACATGACTAAATTTTTGACTTATTATTTCTCTATAGATGCCAATTAAATGGATGGCTCTGGAGTGTATACATTATAGGAAATTTACCCATCAGAGTGATGTTTGGAGCTACGGTAAATAAATATTCCTGATGAATTAAAGTCCTATATACAAGTATTATTAGTGTCATAAAAGCTCTCTTAAGACAAAAATTATTTTTGTTGGACATAATAAATGTAAACTTTGCTTCCTAAAGACATATACACAAATATATATGTATATTATATACATAGTCTTTCATTATCCCATGGTTGTCTAAAATGAAATAATAATAAGAACTGTTAAGTGGTCATAATTGTTGGTTTGGTAGCAAATGGTCTAATCATTTTGAAAGGAAGAACAACTTCCTGTCAAAAGGAAGTTTGGACCCAAAAGATAATAAAACAGGTAAGGTATTTACTTTGCACTTGGTTGACCTGGGTTCAATCCCAACACCTACATATGGCCCATAACTCTTTGAACACTGAGCCTGGAGTCATACCTGAGGACCTTTGGGTATCATCCAAAAATAAACAACAAAGGGACAAAATAAAACAAAGGTAATAAAACTTCCAATTTAAGTTTAGGCCAATTTTATAGAATATCATCATTTTAATATTTAATAACTCATTAAAGAGGGAATTAAATGCAATAAATAAACCTTTACATCTTATCAGAACATCTTTTTATGATATCTCATTATCTCATTCCTACTCTGGACAAACTTGCAGGCTATCGAATGTAGCCTGCCCACAGGGCAGAGTCTGGCAAACTCCCCGTGGCGCACCAAATATGCCAAATACCAGTAACAATGATGGGTCTCATTCTCCTAAAAAGCCTTGAATATAATCTCAGGGCTAGGATGAAAGAGACGTTACTGGGGCCTGCTCGAGGCAATCGACGATTAACAGGATGATGAATGAATGAATGAATGAAATAAACCTTTAATTTTTGCTACTAAGAATCTCTTTTCTATAGTAAGAAAAGAGAAATTATTTTTAAAACAAAGAACATAAATTAAAGCGTTAAACTGAGAGAAATATATTTGAAGGGTACACTGCAAAAGAAGATTATAATTGTTTATATTATAGCTAAGAATCATACTATTTAAATACTTACCAAAAATTGAATAATTGTTAATGATTATCTTAAAAAGAATAATCTGAAGTTTGAAGTTATAAGCTTCAAAGAGTAAGCTTTGTAATCTTATCAATAATAAGTGGTATGAATGAAAAAATACAAGTTGAAATAAATAATTCATTAGAGATGACACTGAAAAAGAAAACAGCTATAATTAATTATTTTATATTAAAAGATACTTGTTTAAATACATCAATCATATTATCTTAGTAATGATATGTTGCCAAAATTTAATTCATTATATTACACCATTGTTGTCCTTTAGGAAAATAATGTTTATATATAATTATCATTAGATAGAGATGATATATAGATATATTTTACTGAGAAACACCTTTATTATCAGAGATAGTTATTTGCATGATAGAATCTAGCATACATGCTTTTATATGGAAAAGCAGTATTCTAATGTTTTCCAAAAAGGTAATTTCACTATGTAAGAAATAAGCCACTAGTTATTCTCTTAAATTTTTGGCGCATATTTTTTACACATAAGTCATTCCACACTCACTACAAAAGAGATTGTTTCATACCATTTATTTATTTTGGTATTAGTTTAAAATTGTACCTACTTCTTTGTATATATACCATAATATAAAGTAATAATTCTGAAAACCCTCTAGACTCCTTGGAGTTTTAATAATAAAGATGCCAAATTTAAAATTAGTCAATATCAGATTTTGTCTGTTATTATATTATGTGGTAATGAATACTCATGCATTTTAAAATGAATTATTTTATGAGCTTTAATATGGTAAATGAAACTAACTTGGGAAAGATTAGCACTACTTAATTAGAAGTAGAAGTGGAAAACAGACTGCATATCTGATATCTACTCTGAATTGCTTTTGTACTTATTAAAAATGTAAGAGAATTGAAATTATGGCACTGAGCTTTTCAGAACTGATACATGAGTCTTACTGTCCTCTAGGGAGCACTGTTTGGTCACTGGAATATGTTTGTTCAAAGTCTGTTGTGAGTATGCTTATTTAATACCGTGATTTCCAATTTAGGAGTCACTATCTGGGAATTGATGACCTTTGGAGGAAAACCGTATGATGGAATTCCTACCCGAGAAATCCCTGATTTATTGGAGAAAGGAGAACGTTTGCCCCAGCCTCCAATTTGCACTATTGACGTTTACATGGTCATGGTCAAATGTAAGACTACAAAATAATTTTATCATCATTCTTGTCATCATTATTATAATTTATACTATAACTCAAGGTGATAGAATAGAAATATCTATCTGCATATTTCCTCTCTTGAAAACAATGAAAGTATAAAACACTTTTGAATGAAGCATGTAAATACTTGTCTTTATTGTGATTTTGTTAATATTAAGCAGCATTATTATCCATGCTATGAAATCAAATTTTATGACTCCTATTTTTTTCATTTGACTCTCATACTTTCATTTCTATGACAGTCATATAGTCATTTATAATGAGCTATAACTCGTCACAATAATGTAAATTTCTTTATGGAAAATAGCAAATAAAGAATGTAAATAGAACTAAGAAAGCTTTAAAGAGACAGTTTAGTAATTAACTGGAATTAGGTTCACCAATTTTAGATGATAAGAGATTAGTATGGCAGAAATGTAGGTAAAAATAAATGATTCTACGTAGATCATGTGTGTTACTTTTTTATTCAATTTCATCATTTGTTTACATCTAGCTATCGTACCCCACCCTTTTTATGCCCCAGACACTTATGTATTATAAATGTGTTTTGGAAGTCTGTGCTCTTAATTTAAACAGAATTAGAGAAGTCTCTGGAGTCCCTGACTTAATTTAAGTGAGATTAGCATTCAGCGATCTTTCTTGTATAATCTCAGGTTTTCCCTTTTTGATTTACACAGGGTTAGCAAAAAAACAAACTGGTGAAGGTGAATAAGCATCTTATTAATAAGAGACTTTGGACCCAGGCCTCCAGATTTATATTCATGACACGTGTGATGCATTCTGACAGTGAGGGAAGAAATAAAAAATGTACTCACCAGATCAGGTCAACATGCCCTTTTCTTGAGGCATACTTCTATTTACTCAATATTAGTTAAAAAGAAACTGATACTTCTCTGCAAAGTTAACCTTTTTAGGTTTCAATAGTTCCAGAAAGTCTTATATTCTTATTAGCATCTTGCGACCAACTGGTGTTTCTAGATTTATTTTCTTAGTGGACACAGTTGGAATACTGAACATTTGAGCTCTGTTAGGAAAGAAAACAATTGGGTAAAATTAATGATATATAAAATGCCACCAAATTACAATTCCAGAACAAGAATAAAAATGAAATGTTCAGTAATAGTAAAAATAAGCATTATGACTATAGAATTAAACACTAGACATCCATGCTACAAAATTTACAAATAAATTAGTTGCTTTGCTCATAAAATTAGCATATTAAATTACTTATGTTTTTCATTTAAATATTCTGATAAAATAGTGAAAATCAGGAAAATGGTTTTCAGAGCTTTAATAACAAAAAGAGGGTTATTTGGCAAGAAAATCAAAGGTAGTTCAGTGCTTCCATTCTTCTCTTACTAGTAGGGAGATAAGATCCTTCTTTATTTAGATTCTTCTCTAAGTTATAAGACATAACTTTAAAATTGCTGACAGTATTTTTAATAGGAAGGTCAAGTACTAAGATAAGCTAATGGCTATTGAATAGCAAGTTATCAATTTGCATTAATTTTAATGATTTGCATTAGTTTATTTCCACCACAAAAAAGTATCATAAGCAAATTGTTTTCTGTTCCATTTTTCCCCTTTTGTTAGTATATCACATTATAAATCCTTAAATTTTAAATCATGTCACTCCCTTACTAAGGTGATCATTTTATTCCAACAGCTCTTATGATTACACGAGTTTCTTTTACAAAGTATTTTTTCCAAAGGGACTGGAGAGATAGAACAGGAGGTAACATGTTTGCTCTGCATGTATCTCACCCCAGTTTTAATCCTTGACACCACTTTTGTTCCCCTAAATACTAAATACTGCCAGGAGTGATTTCTAAGCTAAAAGCCAGGAGTAAGCCATGAGCTTGGCCTGGTGTATCCTCTCCCTAAAATAAATAAAATCGGTCAAAATTTAGGGACTGAAGAGATGTGCAGTGGGTAAGGTAGTTTGCTTTCCATGCAACTGACACAAGTTTGATTCCTGGGACCCCAGACACTACCCCAAATCCTGACATGAGTGATCTCTGAGTGCATAGCCAGGAATAAACCTGAGCATCACTGGGTTTGGCCCAGAAACCAAAAATAAATTAATTAGTTAATTAATTAAAGTGATTTTACACAAGTGGGGAAGGTGAAAGAAAACATCTGAGATTTTATTTTTCTAAAGGTAGCCTCTAGATTTTATTTTCTGTAAATAAATATTAGTTTTAACTTAGATCCACAAAATGAAATTTTAGTATAGAATGATTTAGTAATTAAGTCAACAACTGAGATGAGTTTTATTAATTGTTATCCTTTTATTAACTTTCTATTTCACATCATTGGCCTTTATTTTTGTACACTCTGTATATGTTTTTCTAATTATGACTTTTTAAACTCATTTTTTGCATATTAATTTCCAGGTTGGATGATTGATGCTGACAGTAGACCTAAATTCAAGGAACTAGCCGCTGAATTTTCAAGGATGGCTAGAGACCCTCAAAGATACCTAGTTATTCAGGTTAGTACCTATAACTTATATTTTTATGAATATTCCAGTGTCTAAGTAAATATAGGATATATAGATAAAAATATATATTTAAATATATTATACAGAATATTATATAAAATGTCATGGAAAAGAGACTTTATTTGATGATGGAATTGTGTTTAAAGCCACCTCTAATGAGTATGTTTAGTAATACATGTACTATTTTATTATTGAACAGTCAGATAATTATAGTTCTGCAAATACACAAAATATTCTTACTAGGTAGTACTTCTAGCACTCTGATTTTTATTAACATCTCATATGATCAAATTCATTATAAAAATCTTCCTCTTATACAATAAAAGAAAAATAAATTCTACTTTACTAGTCTATTGTTAAAGATAATCAAGACTTTCATCATGCTGATAATTTTCTAAAACAAAATTTTTGTTTGATAAAGTACGTTATATTTAAGTGATGGAATATTCAATTTAATTATCTAAATATGAATTAAATGACAATAAGATAGTTTGTATATCAATCACCAAATAGATTCATTTTAAAGTATAGTATATGTATTTATAATTATTTTTACTCAAATCATCTATAAACAGATCTTGAATTGCAGTAATTCATGTTTTCTCTATGGAACAAGGTGTAGCTCATGGCATAGTGCATACCTTTGATGAATGAGGCCCAGGTTAGACACTTAGCCTTATGAGATGAGGACATGTATATGGATGAATGTGCAGAAAAATTCTGGCACCCCTTATCTTTAACATTAGTTAAATAAAGATAAAATTACATAAAGATAAAACTCAGGTTTTAGAAGATGATGATTTTCAGGAATATTATCTTCCAAATTAACTTTTATTAGCTGAAATGTTTTATAAAATGTCATGTCAAGTTAAGAAAAAATATTTAATTAATAAATGAAATAAGAAAGTTTAAGTAGTACCCCTCCCATCACATTTATTTATCAGTTGTTCAATGATTTCAAGTGATATTACCTTAACATGGAACAACTATGTTCGTAGTCTTTGTATATGGATACTTATATAATAAGGAATCAACCAAATAAAATAACAATTAGATAAAATTGATTTTTATTATTTATTTACAAAGCTCCAATACCAACTTAGTAATTAAATCTATCATTATTCCCAAGTCTAAAATGAATAAAGTAATCTCTAACACTCAATGCATTCAGCTTACTCATTCTAAGAACAGTACTACATTCTCCTTATGTTGCATGTGTTAGGTCATATCAGTATATTATATGATATTTGTGACTGGAAGTTATGCCAAATATTGTGTAATTATCTCATAAATTTTCGGTGAACTTAATTTTTGTATACAATTACTTCATTAGCCACATGTTTAAGCTGAAGGAAAGAATGATTTTTGTCCATTGGATAATTCTTTAGGGTGATGATCGTATGAAACTTCCGAGTCCAAATGATAGCAAGTTTTTTCAAAATCTTTTGGATGAAGAGGACTTAGAAGATATGATGGATGCTGAGGAATACCTGGTCCCACAGGCTTTTAATATCCCACCACCCATCTATACTTCCAGAGCAAGAATTGATTCAAATAGGGTAAGAAGTGATTACATACAGCTTTGCATGTGATTTCTAAGAGACAAACAAAAAACCATAAAAATACACTATAAGAACTAAAATTACAGAATAAGTATATGTACAAATCAGTATGATTTTTTTCTTCTTTTTTTTAAATTTATTTATTGAATCACTGTGAGAAAAGTTACAAAGCTTTCAGGTTTAAGTCTCAGTCATACAATGATCAAACACCCCTCCCCTCATCAGTAATTATTTTTCACCACCAAGAATCCAAATATGCGCCCCCTCCCAATGCCTGTGAGGCAGATGATTTCTACTTAACTCTCTCTACTTTGAAAACATTCATTATTTCGACAAAAGATGCACCATTATTGTTTGGAATTTGCCCTCAACAATCAGAACTACTGAAAAGGCATTGTGAAATAATTTGTTTTCTATTGCTGGTTATGAAAACCCTATGATGTTGCGCAGCCACCATCAGCTACTTTGGATTTCTGATACTTTGTTAATTAAGTCTGGAGGTATTTCTGCCAAGAGCCGGATAATTACGAGATTGGTTTTTGTGCTTCTGGTGCCATGGTCGTGCCAGAGAGTCACTCATGGGGAGCAACTTGGCCTCTGTTGGGCATGAAGGACTGGTTCCACCCCCCTTCCCATGTGGCTGCAGTTGCCCCATCACTGCCGGCTCATATCTGGCTTTCCAATAAGCTCTGACGCGGTGGCCACCATGCTGCCGGGGTTGGGGGGGCGGCGGAAGAGACAGATACCCTTTCCCTCCCGTTGGGGCATGGTGCTGGAGTTTAATGCATAGTCCACATTTCTGCTGCAAGCTGCTGAGCTCTGGATTAGTTCCATGTACCTCTGGTGCCATGGCCGTGCCAGAGAGCCGCTCATGGGAGTCAGCTCATGAACTTGATTGGGCATGAAGCAAATCAGTATGATTATTTGAATAAAACATAGCAGCAACAAAAATATTCCAAGCTTACAATATATATTAAAGTTGGAAGACAAACATAAACATTACACTACTCATTCTTAAATTTCCTCCAATAGTTCAAAAGAAAAAATATTTTTCTATCAATTAAATTAATGAAAGATCAATTTTAGTACTAAATTTGAATACAACCCTACATTTCTGAATTCTTACCAAGATAATTTTTTGTATTCTTAATCAGTTGAATACAAAAAAATTATCTTGGTAAGAATTCAGAAATGTAGAGTTGTATTCAAATTTTGGTATTCTTAATCAGTTTTATGCCTCTTGGAGAGCCCTGCAAGCTACCAAGAGTATCCTGCCCATAAGGACAGAGCCTGGCAAGCTCCCTGTGGCATATTTGATATGCAAAATACAGTAACAACAATAGGTCTCATTCCCCTGACCCTGAAAAGAGCCTCCAGTCATTGAGAAAAAGACTAGTAAGAAGAGGCTGTTAAAATCTCAGGGCTGGGAGGAATAGAGACATTACTGGCACCCTCTCGAGTAATTCGATGAACAATGGGATGACAGTGACAGTGATCTAATTAGTTGATATGAGTTATTATTCAAGATGTAATATAAGTATACCTTCTTTCATTCAGTTGAGTATTAAACATTTTCAGTTAAATTGCAGAAATTTCAGTTAAAATGCAGAAAAATAAAACTGTAGAGCTCTTAGAACTAATGTAATAATTTTGGGGTGGACTGCTCAATAGTTCCTAAGAAAGAAATTTATGTTTATTTTTAAAATAATTTATTTGGAAAGATTAATTTTAAGTACTGGTTCTACTCTTTATGAATTATACTCTGTCACGGAAAATGGCCAATTAATGTATTTATTTATTTAAAACTCAATCATTTATTCAACATGAATAACTATTTCTGCATTACTGGACACTTGAGATTCTAAGACCTTGACTAAATCTCTGTCTTCAAGAAATACCCAGGATGAAGAGAGAGCCACTGACATACAGAGACAGAATATAGCCTGCTAAGTGTTATAATCAGGATCTTAGAAAAGCACTAAGTATATATTTATAGTCATTTTCTTCTCTGGATTGGTATACACGTGATTTATTTAATTTAATTTTCCGTAGAAAATATTATTTTCTCTTAGTTTCCTCTAGCAGGTAAGATATTATAATAGCTGACAAAAAAAAGAGCACCATCTATTGACCATAGACAAACAAAAAAACTTTCATCATGCCTGCCCATCCTCTAAAGGCATTATTTGCTGTATTTCAGATTTACCACACTAATGAATTCATACCTGAAATTGCTATGTGTCAATGCACGGATGTTACCTCTTAATTCTCGCAAGACTCCCATAAAGTTATATTATTATTATCTCCAGCTATAAATGGAGAAACTGACCACAAAATATTTGAGTAGTATTTTATATCTTATATAATAGCAGGATTCTAATGTAAGTAGTATGTTTCTGCTATGTAAAATATTGTTTCAAAATTTTCAAAACATATTGTCCTCATGGTATGGGTAGCTTTTTTTGGCATTAACCTTAAAATCTAGGTTTTTTGAAAATCATTTTCAGATAACTTTTTAAATATAAAACACATACTTCAACTGCCCAATAATCCCATTTAAAATATCTATTTATTTATTTTTAATAAAATCACCAAGAATTACAAAGTTACAGTTATTCTTGATTAAATTTCAGTTGTACAGTGTTCCTACATCAATTACTTCATCAATGTTAACCTTCCTTCACCAGTGCCCCCAGTTTCCCACTACCCATGATTCCCTCTGTCATTGACATATTTTTTTTAATTTATTTATTTATTGAATCACTGTGGGAAAGGTTACAAAGCCTTCAGGTTTAGGTCTCAGTCATGCAAATATCAAACACATTTCCCTTTACCACTACTTATTTTTTTACCATGAAGAACCCCAATAAGACCCCACCCCCCACCCCTCCCAGTCCCTGTGAGGCAGATGAATTCTAGTTAACACTCTATCTGCTTTGATTAGATTCATTGTTTCATTAAAAGATTCACCACTATTATTTAGAGTTTACCCCCACCCCCTTCCAAATCAGACATGCTGAAAAAGCATTGTGAAGTGATTTGCTTTCTACAGCTGGGTTCAAGAATTAAATGTTGGTTTTGGACTTCTGCTATTCTACCTATTGACCCTGGAAGTATTTCTACTGAAAGTCAGATAGTTAAGAAACTGGTTTCTGTGCTCTGGAGTCGTGGCCGTGCTGGAGAGCCGCTTGTGGGGGGCAACTGCTGGCCTCAGTAGGGCGTGAAGGGCGGACCGAAATGCCCCCCTTCCCATGAGGTTTTAGTCGTCCCCACACCCCCGGCTCATACCTGCTGTCCACAAGGCTCCCATGCGGCCACCATCCTTTCCAGAGAAGAGAGGGTGAATGGGGCAATACCCTTTCCCCTCTGGGCAGACATGATGGCCTGGATTAATGCATAGTCCGTTCACTTTTCTGCTCCAAGCTGCCGGGTTCTGCATTAAGTCCTTGTGCTTCTGGGGCCGTGGCTGTGCTGGAGAGCCGCTCGTGGGGGGCACCTGGTGACCTCGGTAGGGCGTGAAGGACGGACCGGAACGCCCCCCTTCCCATGAGGTTTTAGTCGCCCCCACACCCCCAGCTCATACTTGCTGTCCACAAGGCTCCCATGCGGCCGCCATCTTTCTTTCCAGAGAAGAGAGGGCGAATCGGGCAACACCCTTTCCTCTCCGGACAGACATGATGGCCTGGATTAACGCATAGTCCTTTCACTTTTCTGCTCCAAGCTGCTGGGTTCTGCATTAAGTCCTTGTGTTTCTGGGGCCGTGGCCGTGCTGGAGAGCCGCTCGCGGGGGGCAACTGGTGACCTCAGTAGGGCATGAAGGACGGACCGGAACGCCCCCCTTCCCATGAGGTTTTAGTCGCCCCCACACCCCCGGCTCATACCTGCTGTCCACAAGGCTCCCGTGTGGCCGCCATCTTTCTTTCCAGAGGGAGGAGGGCGGAAGGGAGCAACACCCTTTCCCCTCCGGGCAGACATGATGGCCTGGATTAACGCATAGTCCTTTCACTTTTCTGCTCCAAGCTGCTGGGTTCTGCATTAAGTCCTTGTGCTTCTGGGGCTGTGGCTGTGCTGGAGAGCCGCTCATGGGGGGCAACTGGTGACCTCGGTAGGGCGTGAAGGACGGACCGGAACGCCCCCCTTCCCATGAGGTTTTAGTCGCCCCCACACCCCTGGCTCATACCTGCTGTCCACAAGGCTCCCGTGTGGCCGCCATCTTTCTTTCTAGAGGGAGGAGGGCAGAAGGGAGCAACACCCTTTCCCCTCCGGGCAGACATGATGGCCTGGATTAATGCATAGTCCATTCACTTTTCTGCTCCAAGCTGCTGGGTTCTGCATTAAGTCCTTGTGTTTCTGGGGCTGTGGCCGTGCTCCAGACTTAACTCTGATTTTAAGGGAGAAACGTTGGGTGGTTTACTTCCCATTGATCACTTTGTATAAAGAGAGATGTCGCGTGGCCGTGTAAGCGACCACGCGGTTTTGAGGAAATGTCCTAGTTCCCGCATACTCAAGCTGTGCTTGTAGAGGCTTCTGGTCACCGGGGTTCCATCTGGGGGAGGCGGGATGCGATACCTACCCCATCTGGGACTTCCCGATGATCTCGGCTCTTTTTGGAACCTGTTTTTTTCTTTTTCTCCGGGAGCTGTGGGTCCCGCCCTCCATGTGGCCCTTCTCTTCCAGCTATATGCTGCAAAGATGGTGCTGGGGGGCGGGCTGTGGGCATGTCTTCCGGAATCAGAGCATACCTGGGAGGTGTAGTCCCGGGAGATTTGAGGAAATGTCCTAGTTCCCGCATACTCGAGCTGTGCTTGTAGAGGCTTCTGGTCACCGGGGTTCCATCTGGGGGAGGCTTGTCATTGACATTTTAGGGTGTAATTTAAATATAGGGAAATATGGGTACCTTAATATTTCTGTTCCATGAAGAAATCATTATTATAGTCCTTTAAGAGGAATTACCCCTAAATGGTTTAAAAATTAAATCAAATGGTAGATACTGAGTA